TCCTCCTCCTCCTCCTCCTCCTCCTCCTCCTCCTCCTCCTCCTCCTCACAAACTCCCCTTCCTTCTAGCACTGATGATGTTCCTTAGCTGGGTCATGAAACGTCTGCAAGAAAACCACCAAGCTCAGAGACCTCCACAGCTCTTCCTTCCTTCCTTCCTTCCTTCCTTCCTTCCTTCCTTCCTTCCTCCTCCTCCTCCTCCCCGTCCTCCTCACAAACTCCCCTTCCTTCTAGCACTGATGATGTTACCTAGCGGGGTCATGAAACGTCTGCAAGGAAACCCCCAGGCTCAGAGAACACCAGGGATCTCACAGCCCTTCCTTCCTCCTCCTCCTTCTCCTCCTCCTCCTCCCCCTCCCCCTCTTCCTATTCCTCCTCCTCCTCCCTTCTAGCACTGATGATGTTACCTAGTGGGGTCATGAAACATCTGCAAGAAAACCACCCAGTTCCACAGTTTATGTTCAATGTTTCCCCAGTTTTGTTTTGTTTTTATTTGCACAAAAAGTTCACAAGTCATTTGGTTAAATTGGGCGGTTACAGAAAATGAATAGACTAAAATAATAATATAAATGCAGGTAGTCCTCGACTTATAGCAGTTTGTTTAGTGACCAAAGTTGCAATGGGACTGAAAAAAAGTGACTTATGACCTTTTTTCACACTTATGACTGTTGCACCACTCCCATCATTACATAATCAAAATTCAGACGCTTGGCAACTGACTCATATTTATGACGGTCTCAGCGTCCCTGGGGTCATGTGATCCCCTTTTGTGACCTTCTGATGGGCAAATTCAATGGGGAAGCCAGATTCACTTAACAACCATGTTACTCACTTAACAACTGCAGGGATTCACTTAACAACCTGACAAGAAAGGTCATAAAATGGGGCAAAACTCACTGAACAACTGTCTCACTTAGCAGCAGAGCGGTTTTGGGCGCAATTATAATCGTAAGTCGAGGACTCCCTGTATGTATTGCCTATAATTTGAACCAGGTGGGGAAAAAAATCACTTAATTCTTATTAGCCAGCGGTTAAGTTTGGTGTTGCAAAACTCTCTTTAAAAATGTTTTCTGAAGATCAGATTCATTTGCCATTGAAAAGTGCAAGAAACTCTGTTTGCAGAAAAATTAACCTCACTATAGGGAGCGAAGATATAATTAGCCAATAACTATGTTTTATTTATACTCATAAAGTTTATTCTAATAGATTACCCCACAGCTGTGCAAATGTCATCCCTACATTAAATAGAGACTATTAAAAATGAAAAATGCTTCCGTGTGGATAAATTTAATCGATAGTTATATATCAGCTTCATTTGTAATGTTTGTTCTGATTACTGTATAAGTGTAATTACTGTATAAGTGTCATATAGGCAGTCCTCGACTTACGACGGTAATCGGGACTAGAATTTCCCTCGCTTAGCAACACATTGTTAAGTGAGTTACGCCTGATTTTATGAGCTATTTTTGCAACAGTTGATAAGCGATAGTTGTTAAATAAGTCCAGCTCCCCCCCCCACTGGCTTTGCTTATCAGAAGGTCACAAAATGGGATCTCGTGATCCCGGGACACTGGGACCGTCATAAATGTGAATCAGTTGCCAAGCGCCCATATTTTGATCCTGTGACTGCTGGGATACTTCCATGGTTGTAAGTGTGAAACTTGGTCATAAGTCATAATTTGAGGCACCAAGATGGATTCTAGATAAAAGAACTTGTACAAAAACTTCGCTCTTTCGTTCTGCTTGCTGGATATCGATCAGCGAAAAAGAAAAAGTACAGAAAATTTATTTCATCTGCCTGAAAGTTTAATTAACACTTTATTTTATTCAACCCTTGATTAAACTTTCATTTTTGGTTAACCCGATGGCTCTTACAGATGTGGATTTTATAGCAGTGTTTTTCTTTTATAAACTCACCGTGTTTTAATTCTATACTACAGTGGTTTTTTTAGCTTGCTAAGTGGTGGGTTTCAATTCCCAGAATCCCCCAGCCATCATGCTTTAAGAGGGGAGGACTTCAACTCCCAGAATCCCCCAGCCAGCCATGCTTTAAGAGGGGAGGACTTCGACTCCCAGAATCCCCTAGCTGGCACGCTTTTAAAATAAGTGGACTTCAACTCCCAGAATCCCCTAGTCAACAAACTTTAAGGGGGGTGGATATTAACTCCCAAAATTCCCCAGCCAGCCATGCTTTAAGAGGGGAGGGCTTTAACTCCCAGAATCCCCCAGCCGGCATGCTTTAAGAGGGATGGACTTCAACTCCCAGAATTCTGCAGCCACGATGCTGGCTGTGGAATTCTGGGACTTGAAGTCCACACATCTTAAAGTTGCCAACTTTTGAGAACCAATTGAAAGGCTGGAAAACAGAGGTGCAGAAGGGTGAAAAACAATTGTCCCAAAATTTCACTGAACATTTTAAGGTACATATGTTTCTTTTAGGGGTTCACCTAAAAATTGGGGGACCCAGCATGGAAGCAGAAAGGCAGTGGGTGGGTGGGTTAAACCTTCCCTCTCACAAACACACACACACACACACTTTTGCAAAAGTCTCTGAAAACCTGCTGCCTGCCTCCAGGACGTGTTCTATAAGAAATCTGGCTTTTTCGTGTGTCATCACCTGAAGCTGTTTTTTGTCTTTTAATTACAAGCTGGCCAGATGTTTGACTGGGACGCCACGTCGCTTCTTGTTGGACCCAAACCAAGATTCGTTGGCTACAGCAACCAAAAACAGCTTGTTTCCTGCCACCCGCGAGGCAGACTTATAAATCTGAGAGAAAGACTGAACCAAAGAGCCATCCCATAACAAGAGAGCCAGAAAACCAGAGAATTGCCTGAATTGGGAGGGACTCCCAAAGATCATCTAGTTCACCCTTCCACGACAGGCAGGAACACTAGTTTTGCCATCCTCAAGGCCATTCGAACTCCTCTTTCAAACCCCTCCAGAGTTTGGAAGGAGCTTTTAATGACCAGGGTCCCATAGCAGAGGAATTTTAATTTCTAATCCTCGAATTGGAAACATCCTTCGAGATCATCTAGTCCAACCCCCTGCTCATTGCAGGAACCCTCCGAAGGGCAAATGGGTGGTCTAAAAACGCAATAAGTAAATAAAGTAAAATCAATAAATATCTGTGACAAAGGATTACCTGGGCTGTACCAAACCCAGGTTTGTTATAAACCTCTTTCTAGATAGTCCTCGCTTTACGACCGGTGGCTTAGCAACCGTTTCACGTTACGATGGCCCTCCTCTGACAGACTTGTGACCTATTTCTTTTGGAGTTAGGATAGCCGCGCATGCACACACGCACACACACTTACAGACACACACACACACAAACACAATCACACACAGAGCTTTGTGATTTGTGTCTTTGGGCGCTTAGCAACCGACTTCCCTTTTACGGTCGTTTGCAGCATCCCACAATCACACAACTGCGATTTGCAATGTTTTTCGATGGGTTTTGACAAAAAAAAAGTCCCATTGGGGAAAATAGCTTCGCTTAATGACCGCCGTGCTCACTTAAGAACCGTCCTAAAAAACTTCAAATCAGGTCACAAGATGCCTTGATTTACGACAGCAATGACTTATTCCAGGTTCAATTCCAGTCGTAAGTCAAGGACCACCATGTGTCCTACTTATTTCTCGCCAAGGAGCCCGTGCCATTTCAGTTATGATGACTCCACGCTGCTTCCTAAAATTTCGGTTGCTGTTAAGTGAATTTTGCTCCATTTTACAACATTTCTCGCCATACTGGGCAAGCGAATCACTGCCGTTGTTAACTTAGTCACGGTTGTTAAGTGAATCAGGCTTCCCCCCCCTGACTTTCCTGCCAGAAGTTCGCAAAAGGGGATCACGTGACCTTGGGACCCTTACAACACCGTCATAAATGCGAGTCAGTTGCAAAGCGTCTGAATTCTGATCACGTAACCACGGGGAAGATGCAACGGTCGTAAGTGTGAAAAACCATCATAAGTTACTTTTTTGAGTGCTGTTGTAACTTTGAGCGGTCACTAAACAAATAGTCGTAAGTCAAGGATTGTCTGTAGTGGAAATAATGCAAATTCTTACCAATTCTTCCCTTTTCTATTTCTCGCGCTCTCTTCCTTTTCTCTCTGCCTGCTATCCCCTTTTTGTGCCAATTGGCAGTTTTGCTAGTCGCTGGTGTTTAATAAGCAATATCCGTTTGTTCATTAAATATTATTTTATTAAATATTAACGCTGTAATAAATTAATAATAAATAATGCGTATTTTTTTCTAGCTGAACCCAGGATGGGGATGCTGGCTCTGATCCAAATTCAGAACTAACTGGCTGAGCAAAGTGGTTTTCTAACAACCTGGAGGCCTGGGGTGGTCCAATAGTCCTTGACTTACAACCGTATTGGAGTCTGGAATCTCCATGTTAAGTCACGACGGTCATAAGTCAAGGCACCCTGTGATCAACCAAACTGAATTTTAAGATATTTTTGCCAGTGGCCTTTAAGCGAATACGGTGGTTGTTAAATGAAGCAAGGCATTCCTATGGGCGTTTTTTCCTGGAAACCATCCAAAAGGGAAAAATAAAGAATAAAGAATGAAAATAAAAAATGAAAAAAGAAATAACAATTAATAAAAAATGTGGTTCATTGTACATTGGCCGTAAAACTGAGCCGGTTACCAAGCACCCCATACTGGTGTCTATTTCTGGCTTCAAGTAAAGCTGCCCCATAGGAAACGATGAGTTTCACTTAATGACCGCCGTAAAAAAGATAGTAAAATGTTTCCAGTCACCACTATCATGATTTACAAACATAAGTGTGGACGTCAATGACGGTCGTCATAACTCAGGGACTACCTATAAATGCTTTTTCTAAGGAGCAAAAAGCCGCCAGGTTGCAGTCTCTGGACTGCTTGGCTGTGGACGCCATCTTGACTTTTTTGACCTCCTCTCCCGTTCTCCCATTTCCTGCATCCTTTTAATATTCATTTGTTTTTCCTGTCTTTGCAGATTCAGCCTTTCTACAGAGTCCTCGAAGTATGAACACAAATGAACCCATTGCTAAGCAAGACAGTTGTTAAGTGAGTTTTGCCCCATTTTACGACCATCCTTGCCACAGTCACTAAGTGAATCACTGCAGTTGCTAAGTTAATCACACGGTTATTAAGAGAATCTGGCTTCCCCATTGACTTTGCTTGTCAAAAGTTCACAAAAGGGGATCATGTGATCCCGGGACTCTGCGACCGTCGTACATATGAGTCAGTTGCCAAGAGTTTGAATTTTGATCCTAAGGCCGTGGGGATGTCGCAACGGTCGTAAGTATGAAACACAGTCGTAAGTCTTTTTTCAGTGCAGTTGTAAATTCTGATTTAACTGGTAGAAACTAAAGTTTGCATCCTTGCTATTCTTAGCATCCTATACCGCTCTGGCTTCCTTTAATTTGCTAATTAAGCAAACCATCCATATTTAATTTAATTTCAGGATCTAAAGAAATCCTGGTCTCAGGAGGGATCTTGGAAATCTAGTAGCTCAACTCAACTCTCAATTTTGGTTTTCTTCGAGTTTCCGTCTCTCTCAAACCAATTGGCGGATTTAAAAAACCCAAAATTTTTAATTCCCTCTGTCCTATTAATCTATTCCTCTTTTTTCTCTCCATCTGTTAACTGGGATTCCAACACAAACCAACATTGATCAGTTTTGCACCCGAGCCTTCACACACCTACATCTTTCTGCTTCGGTGATGATCAAACCTTTACAAAAAACAAGCACTTTTTTGATTAAACCTGGTTGAAATTCGGCCTTTTTTTCAATGTTTATTGCATTTTTGATCCCACCCTAATTTTCCCTGAAGGACTTTAATTTTGTAGCAAACAGATCACAATTAAAAATAAACAAACCAACATTTTTGGGGGGGATTTTTTTTTTATCCCCTATGATCTTCAGCTTCACTGGTTGATCCGGTGAGGGGATTCTGGGTGGGCATATTTGCAGATTTATGCAAATAAGCAGAATTATTTATGCAAACAGGATGCACCGCAAAGGATTATGGGAGTCTAGGCAGGAGTCATCCAGAAGGAAGCAGCCGATGTGCATATCACTCACGGGTGGTCAAAAAAGTTAAAATGGTGGCCATCCATTATATAATTGCACAATTATTATTTTTTTTAAATGAGAAATTGGCCACTATCTTGAATTTTTTGACTACATGCTGCAGATTTCTGCTTTCTTTGCGAGACCAGGCAAGGAGGATCTGGTTGAAATCTGATTTTTTGGGATTCCCCCCCCAAAGCTGCAGGAGCGATGCAGGCCGTCCTCTACTTACGACCATTTGCTGAGGTTGAGAAACTTGTTGTTTACAGGTAGTCCTCGACTTACAAAAATTTGCTTAGTGACCTTTTGAAGTTACAATGGCACTGAAAAATGTGACTTACGACTGTTTTTCACACTTAATGACCATTGCAGCCATCCCCCGGGTCACGTGATCAACATTCAGATGCTTGGCAACTGACTCATATTTATGACGGCTGCAGTGTCCCGGGGTCACGTGATTCCCATTTTGTGACCAGTAAATTCAATGGGGAAGCCGGATTCACTTAACAACTACAGGGATTCACTTAACAACTGCGGTCGTAAAACGGGGCAAAACTCACTTAACAACCGTCTTGCTTATCAACGGAAATCTGGGGCTCAATTGTGGGTGTAAGAAGAGGGCTACGATGGCAAGAAGTTGCTTTCGGAGCGAAGGAGAAAGCCAGAAGAGGAGCGACGAGGCCGGAGGAGGAAAAAAGACAGGACAGAGGCAGGATCGCCGGAGGAGGAGAAGAACGTTGAAGGGGAGGGAAAGCGGGCGGCGGGCGCCCCCTAGTGGGCTTCCCCCGCGACTTCCTCTTCTTCCTGGACGGCCGGCAGGGAGGCGAGCGGGCGCGCTTCGAGCTGACCCGAAAGAGTCTGGAGGCTTTCCGTGGAGCCTGCAAGAGGCAGAGAAGCAGGGGAATGAAGGACAGGAAAGGAGGGAGGGAGGGAGGGAGGAAGAAGAACGAGGGGAGGAGGAAATGGAAGGGAGGGAGGGATAAGGAAGGAAGGAAGGAAGGAAGGAGAGAGAGAACGAAAGAAAAAGAAAGGAAAGAAGGAAGGAAGGAAGGAAGGAAGGAAGGAAGGAAGGAAGGAAGGAAGGAAAGAAAGAAGAGGGAGGGAGGGAGGGAGGGAGGGAGGGGAGAGCAAGGGAGAAAAAAGGAGAGGAGGAAGGAAGGAAGNAACAAGGGGAGGAGGAAATGGGAGGAAGGAATGGGGGAGAGAAGGAGAGGAAGGAAGCAGGGAGGAAGGGAAGGAAGGAAGGAAGGAAGGAAGGAAGGAAGGAAGGAAGGAAGGAAGGAAGGAAGGAGAACAAGGGGAGGAGGAAATGGGAGGAAGGAATGGGGGAGAGAAGGAGAGGAAGGAAGCAGGGAGGAAGGGAAGGAAGGAAGGAGGGGAGAAGGAAATGGGAGGGAGGGAGGAAGAAAGGAGGGAGAGAAGAAAGGAGAAAGGAGAAAAATGGAGGGGAGGAAGGAAGGAAGGAGAAAGATGAAATGGGAGGGAGGGAGAAAGCAATGAGGGAGAGAAGGAAGGAAGAAAAGAAGAAAAGAATGGGAGGAGGAGGAAATGGGAGGAAGGAAGGAAGGAGAGAGCAAGGGAGAAAAAAGGAGAGGAGGAAAGAAGGAAAGAGAACGAGGGGGAAATGGGAGGAAGGAAGGAAGGAAAGAAGGAAGGAAAGAAGGAAAACTGTCAAGAGTGCATAGAAGGTCCTTTACTTGAGCCAATGAACTGGTGATCAGAGTGGACAGTCCTGCCACGCCTGTGGCTGCAGCCCAGAGTCTGGCGGTCATTGCCCGTGGTGGGTCTGTCCCTCAGCCTTCTAATGGGGGTGGGGGGGAGGGACACAGCTGGCTGCAGTTCCTTTCTGTACAGGTCGTCCCCAACTTACGTCCACAGTGGGGACCAGAATGTCCATTGCTAAGCAAGACGGTTGTTAAGCAAGTCCCACCTGATTTGACAACCTTTATGCTGGGGTTGTTAAACGAATCGCTGCCCTTCTGACAAGTCAAGTCAATGGGCCCAGCTGCATTCACTTAACAACCAAACTTATTCGCTTGCATAGCAATAAAAATTCCGCTCCCCACTGTGGTCGTAAGTGGAGGACTCCCTCGACCTGATGCCCCAATTTCTGCCCTCCTCCCCAACCCTGGGCAGAGGAAAAACGGGGTCCCCCTCACCTCCTGGAATCTCGGTCAGCTCATTGAGGGGGGGGACGGTGTCCAGCTTGTCCGCGTACATCTTTGCTGCCTGCCTCTTGGCGTAGCGCGCTTCGATCTCCTTCTTGGTCCTCGGGATGCGGCATTTGAAGATGCAGCAGAGGGTGATGACTGAAAAAAAGGGAGGGAGGGAGGGAAAGAAAGGAGGGGGTGGCTCAGGAGCCAGGAGAGCCCTTCCCCCCCCACGGGAGGATGGACCCCCAGATTTGGGGCTCCCCCAAAGGAAAGACCGCTGCTCATCCTCCTGGCTGAAGCCAGAAACCTGCAGTGCCCAGGTTAAATTTTAAAACACACAAATGAAGGGTGGAAAGCAAGGAAAAAAATGAGGGTGTGGAATGGAGAAGAAAGTGAAAATAAAAATGAAAGGAAGGAGAGGGAGAGGAAAAGAGGAAGAAGAGAAGAGAGGAAAGAAGAAATAGAGACGGGGAAGAGAGGAGAGGAGAGAGAAAGAGAAAGAAAGGAAGGAAGGAAGGAAGGAAAGAAAGAAAGAAAGAAAGAAAGAAAGAAAGAAAGAAAGAAAGAAAGAAAGAAAGAAGGAAGGAAGGAAGGAAGGAAGGAAGGAAGGAAGGAAGGAAGGAAGGAAGGAAGGAAGGAGAAAAAAGTAGGGAGGAAGGAAGAGAGAAAAAAAGGAAAAGAAAGGAAAAAAAGAAAAAGGAAGGAAGGAAGAAAGGAAGGAAGAAAAAAATAGAGAGGAAGGAAGAAAGGAAAAAAAGGAAAAGAAAGAAAAAGGAAGGAAGAAAAAAGTAAGGAGGAAGAGCAAGGAAAAGAGGAGAAAGAAAAAAGAAAAAGGAAGAAAGAAAGAGAAAGAAATGGAGGAAGGAGGAAGAGGGAAAAAGGAAAGGGAAGAAGAAAGAAGGGAGGAAAGAAAGAAAGAAAAAGAAAACAAAAGAAGCAAAGAAAAAAAGAGAAATGGAGGAAGGAGGAAGAGAGAAAAGGAAAGGAAAGGAGAAGAAGGAAGCAAAGAAAGAAAAGAGAAAGAGAAAAAGAAAAAGAAAGATTGTAAATTGAGGATTATTTGTATAGTGTGATTCACCTTAGTGTAGCTGGCCCAGATTCACTTGACAGTGATAAAATCAAGCGAAATTAAATTAAATTAAAAAGCCCCTTTTTTCAGCATTGCTGTAACTTTGCATAGCTGCTAAATGAACGGTGTTAATTCGAGGACCCCCCCCCCTTCTGTCTGGGGAACCTCGATTAAAAATCCGCAGCCAGCCTTTGGCTCCAGTTCTCCAAAGAAACTCTTCAGGTCACAAGTCCTTTTGATCTGTGGCTTAAAAAGATCTGCTGGGAAAGTCAAATAGGACGGGGAAGCAAGACCGTTAACGCGCCAACTGGCAAGGTCAAAACGTTTTGAGTAACTTCAGCATCCGGCATGCTCGGCGCGCATTCCCTGCGCGATGCTCGTGAAATTAAATCTGCCTCAAAAAAAAAAAAAAAAAAACCAACCCCCCAAAAAACCACTCCTTAAAAAGCTTGTTTTCTCTTCCTGGCAGCTTTTTCGGTGGGTCTGTTTTCACTGTCAACCGCGGGAAAAACCTGGCCTCGTTTCCCGCGATGATGCTTATTTAATGGTGCAAATATTTCCTGCTCTGTCTGGGAACATTTTCTTCTAGCATTTCTCTTCCAGTGCCAGCAGGCAGGCTGCAGACCTGGAGAACGGCCCACACCAGGTGGAATCAATGGGGCGTGCGGTGGAACAGTTGCCGTTTGCTTAATTCCCGGGGATAGGAGCGAGTTCGAATCCTGTCAACCGTGCTGCCATAATTTACGGCTCTAAAAAAAAACCATCCAGATTCTCTACTCCAGGCAGCAGTTCAACCTGAAGAGCTATGGGGGGGGGGTTGTAATTGGCTTTGCACAGCAGGACGGTCCTTGACTTACAACTGTTTTTGTTTAGCAACATTTCCAAGTTACAATGGCATTGAAAAACCTGTCTTATGACCGTTTTTCAGACTTATAATTGTTGCAGCATTCTTGCAGTTGTGTGATTAGTAACCAGACACTTGGCAACCAGAATGTACAGGTTGTCCTCAAGTTATGACCAACCCCACATTTCTGTTGCTCAGTGAGGCCTCAGTTAAGTGAATTTTGCCCTGTTGTATGACCTTTCCCCTCGCCGTTAAGCAAAGCCCTACAGTTGTTAAGTTAGTAACATGGCTGTTAAGTGAATCTGGTTTCACCATTGACCTTGTTCGTCAGAAAGTAGCAAAAGCCAAACACAGGATCCTGCGACACTACAACCGTCAGTATGAGTCAGTTGCCAAGCACCTGAATTTTGATTACATTATCGTGGGATGGTTGCAACGGTTGTAAGTGTGAAAAATGATCATTGGTCACTTTTTTGGTGCTGTTGTAACTTTGAAGGGGCACTGTTGCAATCTGTATATTGCGGGTGTCTTATAGGCTAGTCCAGGATCTACAAACATTGAATGCCAAGATCTGGAGTCCAGCTCTTCTGGTCCAATTCTGCCCAGGGTGGAAGACTTGACCATCTCAGGTAGAGATGAACCTCAAGACTCCAGAAAACAAACAAAACATCGAGAAATCCCTCCTTATTGGGAGTCTTCTTGAGGATGTCCATCTGCCAACCTTCCATGATTGGGTCTTCTCTCGCTGTTGGACATCATAGAGACGTCTCTTCACGAGTTGGAAGGTGCTCTGATGTCTCCTCTTAGCTTTCTCTTCTAAGGTTGAGCCTATCCCGTTCCTCGTTCGTAAGAACCTGTAGGACTCTCACCATCTTCACTGTCTTCTTCACAGCTGGTCCTCAACTTACGACAGTTCATTTAACGACCGTTCAAAGTTACAATGGCAGTGGAAAAAGTGACTTAGGAGCATTTTTCACCCTTACGACTGTTGCAGCATCCTGATCAAAATTCAGATACTTGGAAACTGACTCAAATTTATGATGATCATGGCGTCCCGGGGTCACGTGATCCCCTTTTCCAACCTTCCAGTCAAGTTCATGGGGAAAACCAGATTCACTTAATAACCATGTTACTAATTTAACAACTGCAGTGATTCACTTAACAACCGTGGAAAGAAAGGTCGTCAAATGGGGCAAAATTCACTTAGCAACTGTCTCATTTAGCAACATAAATTTTGGGCTCAGTTGTGATCGCAACTGGCTTTCCAGGACCTTAGCAATCAATCAATCAATATCAATCAATAAATCAAATATTTATTTGGTCATTGTCCAGACCTCTTAGCATCCTTTTCAGATTGGGCCTCAAATCTTCAAATTTAGTGACCCTTGAAAGTTACAACAGTAAAGTGACATGAGTGGTCCTCGCACTTGTGAATGTCGCAGCATCATCATGGTAACACAATGTGATCACATTACCTTGGGACACTGCAAGTGTCATTAATCAATGTCCAACCGTCTGAATATTGATCATGTGACCATGAGGACAATACTATGGTTGTAAGTGTGAAAACAGTCATAAATCACTTTTTACAGTGCCGTTGTGACTTTGAATGGTCACTAAACAGATGGTTATAAGGTGAGGACTACCTGCACATTGTATTGGAGGAGACCAAAGCTTGTTTTTTTAATACTGTCCAACAAGGATGTCCACAGGAGAGTGGTCAAAAAAAGTTAAGATGGCAAGAAACAATGGCTGGAAACTGACCAAAGAGAGGAACAACCTGGAATTAAGGAGAAAGTTCCTAACAGGGAGGACAATTAACCAGTGGAACATCTTACCACTAGAAGTTGTTGGTGCTTCATAGCTGGAGGTTTTTAAAGAAAAGACTCTATTCTATTCCATTTTCTTTTCTATTCTAGTCTATTCTATTCTATTCTAGTCTAGTCTATATTCTATTCTATTCTTATTTTCTATTCTATACTATATTCTATATTCTATTTTATACTATTCTATATTCTATTCTATTCTATATTCTATATTCTATTCTATTCTATTCTATTCTATTCTATTCTATTCTTATTTTCTTTTCTTTTCTTTTCTTCTTTTCTTTTCTTTTCTTTTCTTTTCTTTTCTATTCTATCCTATCCTATCCTATCCTATCCTATCCTCTCCTATCCTATCCTATCCTATCCTATCCTATATTCTATATCAGTGATGGCGAACCTTTTAGAGACCGAGTGCCCAAAAACTGGCCCTGCCCCTGCTCCACCTCCCTGCTCTGCCCCCGCTCTGCCCCCCCCATCCACTGCTCCGCCCGCCCACAGGACCACTCACCACCTCCAGGGCCCGCCACAGATCACCCAGGCAGCCCAGCAGCGCTATGGCGGCCACACCCTCTGCCCGTATCCTGCAGCATCAACTCATCATGGGGCGTGAGGGCAGAGTCTTGTCTACGCTGCCTGGCTGCCATGTCCTTGGCTGCGCTGCTCCATGTGGGCCACGCTCGGGGGCGACTCTCCTTCAGGGGGGCTGCTGGAGAGAAGGAGGTCACGGGGGGAGGCAAGGCTGGGGCAGTGGCATGTGTGCCCACAGAGAGGGCTCCGAGTGCCGCCTCTGGCACCCGTACCATAGGTTCGCCACCACTGATATAGACAATAGAATATAGAATAGAACAGTGGTGGCAAACCTATGGCACGGGTGCCAGAGGCGGCACTCAGAGCCCTCTCTGTGGGCACCCATGCTGTCACCCCAGTCCTAGGCCTTCAGCTGGGTTTTATAAAACCTTTTCGCTTTAGGCCTCCACCGCCGTGTGCAAAAAAAAAAAAAAAAGATTCAATCAATCAGTCAATTTCAACTGCTTGCGGGGGGGAAAAAAAGATCCTGCAAAGTTGGAATTGATTGACTGAACTTTTTAGTCCCACCCAGTCTGCCCTTACCACCACAGCCACGCCCATCCAATGGGCCACACCCACCCGGCACCCAACGATGCATACGTGGGTTTTGGGTTGCAGTTTGGGCACTCGGTCTCTAAAAGGTTCATCATCACTGGTCTATATTCTATGTTCTATGTTCTATGTTCTATTCTATTCTATTCTATTCTATTCTATTCTAATTCTCTGCCTCCGTTTGACTTTTTTGACCTCCTTGCCCATAAAACTGGCATTCAAGAGGATGGAAATAAAAAAAAAAAAGAAGAAGAAATAGCACTTACTAACACTCAGCACAAAAATGGCAAAAATTCCAACCACTTGCCAAAGCCGCAAACCCCAGATCACCACGGTTTCCGACGTGACGGGATCCGGTTTCTTTTTTGGCGTTTCAGTGGTCGCCTACAGAGACACAAAAGTGACGAAAGAAACGAGGAGGAAGGCATAGGGAATTCTGGGAATGGGCTTAAGTGGCCATGACAGACCCAGAGGCTTGTGGGAAAGAGGAAGTTGGTGATTCATAGCCAACTTTGACTTTTGTTAATTGCAGGTCTTGTGATGCAGCTAATTTGAAAACTAAATTTAACCATCCTGGGGGTCTTTTTTCTTTTTTTATATATAAATGTTTCATTAATTTTCTATTTTCACAAGTAAGTGCTCAATAGACAACGTGATGACAGAGTCCATTAGTAATTTGGTGATACATGTAAGTTTTTCCAACTAAGTCCAATGTTACATCTTCTCCTGGTAATAACAATTGTTCCACGTTAGGCAAAAACAATTCTTATTACTGTTAGTAAACATACAAGTGCACATCAACATTGGTTACATTTTTCTAATAATATCAATAATATCAGTTTAAAATATCTTTCCTATCCAAAGCATATCTTAATTGCATTTGCATTCAATTTCCACTTATTTAATCCCTGTCCATATTTTTTAATCCATTTTTTAATCCATATTTTTGCTTTTTTTCAATTTTAGTTTCCCCTCCGTATTCAAAGCATCCCAATCATTTATCATTTCAAAACAAGTTACATTTGGGCAACAAAGAGAGTCCCTTATTCAAAATTCATAACCTATTCTTATTTCCCTTCTCATACCAAGATATAATATTCTAATTACAAATCATAACTATCTAGTTATAATAATATTTCTATTTCTAACAATCTATTCTTAACCATATTCAAACCTCTAATCAATAGTCTAGCATCCTCTCTAATAGATCAAAGCTTTTGCTTCCTTCAATCTTACTCTAGCTTTCTTTCTTTGCCAACTAGCTTTCCCAGTCAATGCATTTGGATCATCAAATAATTATTCCTCTGTTTTTATATCTATTATTTGGAACAAAAGAAACAATTCAGTTAAAATATTTTTGGAAGAGCTAGCCCGGTTAAACCGCCTCCCTCCTTCTCTGGTTCCCCACAGTTGTAAACGGCTTTATCATCCATTCCATCAGCTCTCCTTGTTCTGAAACCTTACGTTATAAAATGTCTCTTTCACTTCCAGTATTATCATTATACCTTATGAGTGTTCATTTATCTGAATCTGGTTGTTTGTTTCCTCTTTTGGATCCTCAATATTTGTGTCAGAATTCTCTAGTTTTCCTTCCTTCTATTTTCTGGGTTTGATGGTGGCAGCTTCAAGGTGTGTGGACTTCAACTCCCAGCATGCTGGCTGGGGGATTCTGGGAGTTGAAGTCCTCCCCTCATAAAGCATGCCGGTTGGGGATTCCTGGGAGATGGTGTCAAAACCACTTAACATTGCCAAGCTTAAAAAACACAGATCTAAGAGACATAGACAGCCCCACGTCTACCAAGTGTTGCTTAACTACAACTCCCATCATCCTCCATTTTGCGCTTTCCTTACCTGGGGTTGCTGGGTGTTGTAGTTGACCAAGAGGGCCTGAGTTATACAGATAGTCCTCCACTCACGACCACAATCAAGTGAGTGAGACATTTGTCAAGTGGAGTCTTGCCCCATTTTACAGCCTTTGTTGCCATAGTTGTTGAGGGAATCCCTGCAGTTGTTAAGTGAAACACACCGTTGCTAAGTGAATCTGGCTTTGCTTGTCAGAAGGTCAGAAAAGGGGATCCTGTGACCCCTTTTCTGCGACCGTCATAAATACGTCAATTGTCAAGGGTCTGAATTTTGATCCCGTGACTCTGGGGAGGCTGCAACGGTCGGTAAGGGTGAAAAACGGTCATAAGTCAATTTTTTCAGTGCTGGTGTAACTTTGAACAGTCACTAAATGAACTGTCATAAGTTGAGGACCGCCTGTATTTGGTTAATCTTGTTTTTATCTTTATACCTTTTTTCTTTCTCCCAACCCTTTCGTGACAAAATGGCGGCGGGGGAGGGTTGGAACAGTCACACTGAATTGTGTAAGATAACACAACCCTTCAACACACTCCTGCACATACACACACACACACACACACACACACACACACACACACACACACAGGTTGCTGTCTTCCTTGAAGGCTCTATTTATGATTTATTTCGAGCGCATTATGTTTCTCGCCCGTCTCCAGTTTCAGAACATAGTCTGGCTGTTGTTGAGGTGCGGCATTGCGTAAACTAATCGCCACTTTAAAAAAACCTAAAATGACAAATTGTGATGTCTAACACAAAGACACAAACACACGCATAGACCCTCCTCCTACTGTGCTCAATCTGCAAAATTGCTGCATCCTCGAATCCAACTAAACAGGTACAAGAGGCGAAAAGAGTTACCGACTTTCAATTTATCTCAAGCACGGGCAGTCCTCGCCTTACGACCACAGTTGAGCCACTTAACGACCATAACTTACCACACTAGAATGTCCCTTGCTAAGCCAGGCGGTTGTTAAATGACTCGTGCCCGATTTTACAACCTTTTCTCGGGCACGGCTGTTCATCGAATCTCCGCCGTTGTTAAGCGAGTCCCAAGGCCGTTGGTAAGCGAATCCAAACTCCCCTCCTTGGTTTTGCTGGTTGGCTGAGAAGGTCGTAAAGGGTGATCACGTGACCCAAAGACGCTGCAATGGTTGTTAAATACATTCCTGTTAACTCTGATCATGTGAGCGTGGGTGTGCTGTGACGGTCGCAAGTGTGAGGACCGTTCATGTCAAACCAGTTTCCGACAAGAAAAGTCGAAGTTGGATTTGCTTAACAACCACATGATTTGCTTAATTTCTGCGATTCGCTTAACAACCATGGCATAACGTTCGTAAAATCGGGCGTGGCTCAACATGTTTAAGAATGGAAATTCTGGTCCCTAATTTTGGTTTAGAGCAACAGCTGGCGTCATAATTCAAGGACTACCTGAATTACAACTTACTTTCTAGCTAGAACAAAGATTTGTTTGCTTAGCGATAAAATTCAGACCCCCTCTTACTCCCAGGAAAATCTTACTTCCTTGCTTTACAGCCCACTATAAATATTTTCAGAATCAGAATAACAGAGTTGGAAGGGACCTTGGAGGTCATCTAGTCCAACCCCGCCTGCCCTCCCTCCCTCCCCCCCCTTATTTTCAGTGGAATTAATCTCGGTCTTAGGATAAGAATTGTGGCTTGACAACTGGAATTTCAACTTTTTGCTTGGAAGAAACAAAACTTTGTGGAATTTGACAATTAGATGATTGTTTATGATTCTAGAAATATTCCGTATTATATTTAATTTTAAAGCAAGAGGCTTAACGTACTTTACATTTGCACAATATCTGCGCCGAAAAAAGTCATAAATGATTATTTTTCTATTTTGTTCTTCGTTTCTCCCCCCCCCCCCCCCCCCCCCCCCCCCCCCCCCCCCCCCCCCCCCCCCCCGGCTCTCCTTTGTTCCTTTTCTGATCTTATCTTAATTCTTCTTTCTGATTCTGTTTTATCTTTTGTTGACTCTTAAAGCCTTACTAAAAGATAAGGCCAGAGATTCTGAAACATTTGCAAACAGAGGAAAATAAATATATTTCTCTGCATTTTTGATCTAGAATAAAAATTGCTGATGAAACAACAGGGGGCTAAAAATAATTCCTTTCGGTTTGTGGGGGCCATTGCAAAACTTAAATTAAATAAATATTCAAGCTCCAGAGCCACAATGTTGAAAGTCAAAACTATCTGGAAATTCCTGAAAATCTCTCTCTGTTTTAAAGAATTTAAGTACATTTTTCTTGGAGATTTCCTGCAACTTATCTGATATTCAACTAGATACCTTTTGTTGGTTTTTCCCTTTTGTTTGCAAAATTCCTGGCCTAAACCTAGTTCAAATAAAAAACCCCAACTAGGATCTCTGTAAATACCCTTGTGAGAGGCCGGTTGACTGGATTTCAGACTGATGGAAAAATTGGGATTTTTGCAATGCAAAACAGATGGTCCTCAACTTACGACCGCAACTGAGCCCAAAATGTCCATTGCTAAGTGAGACAGTCGTTAAGTGAGTTTTGCTCCACTTGACGACCTTTCTTACCACAGTTCTTAAGTGAATCACTGCAGTTAGTAACGTGGTTGTTAGATGAATCTGGTTTCCCCATTAACTTTGCTTATTAGAAGGTCATAAAATGGAACACTGCAGCCGTCATAAATATGAGTCAGTTGACAAGCGTCTGAATTTTGATCACGTGACCGTGGGGATGGCTGCAATGGCCGTAAGTGTGAAAAACGGTCAAAAGTCCCTTTTTTCAGTGCAGTTGTAATTTCGAACGGCCACTAATGGATTGTCGTAAGTCGAGGACTACCTGTATTTGGGGAGTCTTAGCCTGCAGGCTAGTTTATCTCATTAGTTATTTTATTTATTTAAAATATTTATGTAACTTGCCTCGTCTTTCAATCAACTCTGGGCGTCACCCCATCGAAAAATAAAAGAGAGAGAAAATCAGATTAAACTGCTAAGATTCAACTGACGAAAAAAAATTAACAACAACGGCATCCTTAGCCTCTTGGACCATTTTGGATCTGGGCTGGCAAAATGTGATGGCCAGAAAGTGTTGGGAAAGAGATCTCCACCCCCCACCTCCACCCCCCAATTCTCTGCTGGCATTTAGTGGTGGTCCAGATATCTGCAACCCAGATTTGACAATCCTGCCCCTAAGGATTTTTTTCCTTTCGGTCAGGACCCCGAAGAATTTGGCACAACGGTATTTTTGGATTTAGGGGTCCTTCGTGGTCTCTGAGCTTTCCTTGCAGACGTTTCATGACCCAACTAGGGGACATCATCAGTGCTAGAAGGGAGGAAGGTTTGTGGAGAGGAGGAGGAGGAGGAGGAGGAGGAGGAGGAGGGAGAGAAGGAGAACTGTGGGTTCCTTGGTGCTCTCTGAGCTGGGCGGTTTTCTTGGAGACATTTCATGACCCAACTAGGGAACATCATCAGTGCTAGAAGGGAGGGGGGTTTATGGAGAGGAGGGGGAGGAGGGGGAGGAGGAATGAGAAGAAGAAAGAGGGGAGGGGGAGGAGGAGGAGGAGGAGGAGGAGACCTGTGTGGGGTTTTTGATGCTCTCTGAGCTGGGTGGTTTCCTTGCAGATGTTTCATGATCCAACACTGCCAGGGCAAGCTACTGCAAATCCCACTTTTAGCACTGGTGACGTTACCAAGCTGGGTCATGAAACATCTACAAGAAAACAACTCAGCTCAGAACTGCTCCTCCTCTTCCTGCTCCTCCCTGCAACCCCCCCCTTCCTTCTAGCATGGATGATGTTCCCTAGTTGGGTCACGAAACGTCTGCAAGGAAACCCCCAGTCTCAGAGAATACCAAGGACCCTACAGTCCTCCTCCTCCTCCTCCTCCTCCTTCTCTCCGCAAACCCCACTTCCTTTATCACTGATGATCCTCCCTAGTTGGGTCATGAAACGTCTGCAAGAAAACCTCCAACCTCAGGGAACACCAAGGACCCCCCAATTCATTTTCTGAGCTACAAATATTCTCAGCTATTCCCGGGTGTCTTGCATCCACCACCCATCCTTTGCTGATCCTGGATGGGGTCTCTCCATCCATTCATCCATCCATCCATCCATCTCCCAGGCAACCCCCCCCCCCNGGACAGAGGGGGCTTCGTGTGTTCGGATCCCAGGCCATCTCCCTCCGGTGCTCGGCTCGGTGCAAAACCGGAGCCTGCTTCGGCAGGAAGAGAGAGATGGCTTCCCCCCCCCACCACCACCTCCTCCCTTTGTCCCTGTCCTTGCCCAGGCAGAGCCATTAATTAATTCATTAGACCAGGTTGGCTTTCAGACAGGCTGTCTCGGCTGAACCAGGAAGCCAGGAGATTGGAAATATCTTGTGTGGGTTTTTTTTTACGGTTCTTGCTCAAGGCAGCAGGGCGCCCTCCCCACTGGAGGAGGAGGTGATTTGGTTAGCCCAGGTCTGTTTTTTTTCAAAGGGAGAGCAGCATCCAGACGTGTTTGGCAGCCCCAGTACTGTAATTGCATCTTTTCAGTTCTGGGGTGCAGGCGACCACTTGCGGGGGGTGTGTGTGGAGCAGCTGGGCCCTGCAGGTGACCAGGTTTTAGGCTGGACAGGTGGATTGGGGCCGTTCTGCTGGCTGGGTTGCTTCTTGTAGGAAAGAGGAGCGGGAAGGAAGGAAAAGAGGGAGGGAGGAAGAAAAGAGACAGAGAGGAAGGAAGAAGGAAGGAAGGAAGGAAGGAAGGAAGGAAGGAAGGAAGGAAGGAAGGAAGGAATGAATAATGGAGAGAATTGGAGCGGAAGGATGGGAAGGAGGAAAGAGGAAGGAAAAGGACATGGAGGGAGGGAAGAATAATGGAGGGAACAGGAAGGGAGGGATGGGAAGTGAAGGAGGAAAGAGGAAGAAGGGAAGGAAGGAGCGAGGAAGGAATAATGGAGGGAATGGGAGGGGAAGGATGGGAAGGAGGAAAGAGGGAGGGAGGGGAGGAAGGAAGGAAGGAAGGAAGGAAGGAAGGAAGGAAGGAAGGAAGGAAGGAAGACTGTGGTGTGAATGAATTTTGATTTGATCAAATCTCTAGCTTCAGGTC